GTGGAAAGACAAATAATTACAATATTTCACCTTCTATAGAAAAGGTTCATATTGTTGAGGGCCGATCAAGTATACATTATGCTTGAAACTGAGAAAAAGTTCAATTTCTTAAGAAGTTATCTCAGAAAAAAAAAAGAAGTTATCTCAGTAACTAAAAGGAATTAGAACATTAAAATAATATTCACTTAAATTTTAGATAAGAATTTAAAAGAATGGGGGAGGAGAAGTTTCGAGAAAATACTTTTGACTTCCCTTCCTGTTTATTGGAAGCCATTTATAACATTCTATGTCATTGAAAATATATGAATTGAGGAAAATTAATCTGCAGCAGTCTGCCATTATAAAAGAACAGAGCAACTCTACTTGAACACCCCATTCTAACAAACATTAACAGAAGCCTCAGGGCAAGCTGTAAACAATGTTCCTTGACTCATAAAAGAAAAAAAAATCCAAGGAATAGTTGGTTTCTGTGGCTTTTGAAAAAAAATTTTTTTTGAGTGACATTTGAATGCCTTCAGGATGTCTGTATTGAAAGAATGGAATGTTTTCTGTATGTCTTTTTCAGGAGAATGAAAAGCTTTAAGTGGGAGACAAACCAAAGAATGCTTTGTGAAACCTCCTCTGCCTTTTCACTTCAATGAAAATAGAACAGCACAAAAATCCTGAGAAACACTGATTTTTTTGATAGGATGTTTTGTTGTAAATGATTGGGGGAGGAAGGATATTTTTTAGTCAGACCAAAAAAAATATTGCCTGTCTTAATTTTATTTTGAAAAAAACAAGATGTGCATTAGTTGACTCCTTCCACAGATTTGTTAAGTGCCTCCTATATGCAAGGCAAAAAGATGAAGAAGATATGATACCTACCCTCAAGAGAACTTACTGATAGTGCATACACACATATGTAAACATGATGTATGCACATCAACCAGTCTTTGAGCACATACATGAGGATGCTGTGGTGAGAGTCCCAGTTCTCTTAGAACATATGTTAAGTGGGAGAAACAAACAAGGATCGAGTTAACCAAAGTATAATTACAAAGAGGTGCTATGAAGTACAGTAAATCCAGGGAGTATGCTAGAGGGTGACTTGTCCTAGGCGGGGTCTGAAAAGGCCTCTTTGACAAAGCGACTTTTGAGCTGAGATCTGAAGGATAAGAGTCAGCCATGGTCAGTTTGGCTCGGTGGGGGGTCGGGGGTTGGGGAGACAAACATTCTAGGTGGAGGGGATTGTAAATGCAAAAGCCCTGAGATGGCAATGATCTTGACATGATCCTGGAACTACATGAAGGTCAGCATGATTGGAGTCCAGTGAGCTGGGGGAAGTGGTAGGAGAAAAGATCTCAGGGGTAGGCGGGGGCCAGCGAAAGGAATTTGGACTTTATTCGAAATGCAATCAGAAGCCACTGGTTGATTTTAAACAGGGCAGTGACATAATATGGCTTGTTCTTAAAGATTGTACTGACTGTTCTGAGGACAATAGATAAGAGGGTGAGAATGGAAGTGGGGAAACCAGATAGGAGACTTACAGTGGGCCAAGTGAGGGTGATGATGGCTTAGGAGTGGAATAGGAGCTGTAGAGAGGGAAAGAAGTAGACGACCCAGCATATATTCAGAGCAGTTGATCAGTAGGTTGAGTATGTGGGGAGGAGAGGAAGAAGGAATTGAACATGACTCCCAGGTTTTTGGCTTGAGCAACTGAGTGGATAGTAGTATTATGTATGGAAATGAAGAAGATGAGGGAAAAACAGGTTGAGTGGGGAATTCTATTTTGGTTATGTTAAGTTTAATATGCCAGTTAGAAGTCCACATCAATATTTCAAATAGGTGGTTGGATCATGCTAAATAAATAAATAAATCTGGGAGCCATCAGTATAAGGACAGTATTTTAAGTCAATGGGACTGATGAAATCACCCAGGGAGGGTCTATAAGTAGACAGGAGAGCTCAGGGTAGAATTTAGAGTTCTGTCATTTCGTTGTGGCACAAAGGAGAAGGAGCCAACAAAGTTCTTTTCTCAAATATACATATATATACACACACATACGCGGAGTAATATATACATAACTATACAACTATATATATATATGTGTGATACATGGGTTTTTTTCTGACCTGTTTAAGATTAGCTGGCAGACATGATGCCCTTTTACCCCTAAATACTTTAGATTATGCACATATATATGTAAATATGTGTATCTGTGTGTGTATGTGTACAGAGAGAAAGAGAGGGAATGAGAAGAAAGCAAATGTAGTAAAATGTTAATATATTAAGAATCTGGTTGAAAGACCTCCTGAATTCTATTTTTTCTATGTGTATATGTATAAAACTTCTGCAACTTTTCTTTTTAAGATTATTTATTTATTTATTTATTTGACAGAGAGACAGACAGCAAGAGAGGGAACACAAGCGGGGGAGTGGGAGAGAAAGCAGCAGGCTTCCCGTGGAGCAGGGAGCCCAATGCGGGGCTCGATCCCAGGACGCTGGGACCATGACCTGAGCTGAAGGCAGATGCTCAACCATCTGAGCCACCCAGGCGCCCCATAAAGCTTCTGCAACTTTTCTATAAGTCTGAAATCATATCAAAATAAAGTGGTACAAATTGAGTACTAAGGTGGAAAATGAACTAGGTGGGGAACCTTTTGAGACATGATATTCAGCTGGCCTCATACAGATATATCCAAAGGTGCTATGAGGACATTTCAATAGCAGGATCAAGGTGAGAAAGCCATGGATGTAGCAGAGCAGGGTATGTTCAGGAAACAGCAAATAATTGAGAGTTTTCTATTCTTTAAGTTACTTTCCTTGGCATTAAACATTAAGCAAAGTGAGTAGTAAACTCATTTGCAGAAGAGTAAGAGAGTGGGATGGGAAACTGATAGAGAATTTAATAGGGACTCAAATGGGTAAGAATGAAAGGATTCTGAGCAACATGAAACATTGTTAGATGGGATAAATTTGAAATGGAATTGGCTCAATGCTCAGCAAGCCGAAAAAAATAGGTTAGAAATTGGCAAGTTAAATGCGACAAGGACAAAGGGCCCAAGGAAAATGATATTGAAGTGGTTTCCCTTGGGGACTGGTTGGGTAGGGAACAGGTAAGACATAAAGGAGTGGGGCAGTGTTTGGGGGAGAGACCTGGAAAGGGCCAATAAGTTCTGGAAATCTTAGAATAGTCATAATCTTCTTGTTGCCTCCTGTACTATTTTAAGGGGTGGAATTAGGTGATCCTTACCAGCTCTTAAATTTTTTAAATTAATTAATTATTTATTTATTTTTAAAATTTCATTTATTTATTTGACAGAGAGAGCAAGCACAAGCAGGGGGAGCTGTAGAGGGAGAGGGAGAAGCAGGCTTCCCGCTGAGCAGGGAGCCCGATGCGGGGCTCGATCCCAGGATCCTGGGATCATGACCTGAGCCAAAGGCAGACGCTTAACAACTGAGCCACCCAGGCGCCCCTTAAATTTTTTTTAAACTCCCTTTTCTCTTACCCTCCTTTTCACAATAGATTGAACTACTTAGCACATGGCCTCATAGAAAACAGCAAGGTGGGAGATCAGGGCTAATTCAGAGTACAGGCTATAACATTTTTAATGTGCCCAAAAGTTAAGAAAGGAGAATGGCCTGAAGGTTAGGGTTGGGGGTGCTTGCAGGTTTAGCAAGAGTGAGCAGCAGTGGAGAAGAGGTAAGGATTTGAGATTACAATCAGGACGCCAGTTTTTGGGTTTGAAATCTTAGAGATGGAGCACTTCCAAGTGTTGATTAGCATACAAGTATGGCCATACATGTGATGGCTGAGCAGAAGAGAGGAAGAGATCAGTCTAGTCGGGAGCTTTGAGGAATGGTTAGGTCAGGGTGTAGGAGACTGTGGTCTCTGTGTTTATCAGCAAACATTTCTTGATGGCATGTTTCATGTCAGGCCTGAATGGTGCCAAGAAAGACCAGGGTGGTGCCTGACTTCGAGAAGCAAGGAAGTGGGGAGTGAACGTGAATGTCACAAATGCCAAAATTTGGAAGCATTAATGAGAGAGTAGAAGAACCACGGTCTAAAAATAGTATGTGAAGAGACGTTTTTGAAGTGTCTGGAAGAGAAACAAGTTCATGACAAACATCAATGGAGTACAGTGAATCTTCTTCTGACAACCATTTTAAGAAGATTTTATTTTTGATACTCAGTAGAGAGACTTTGATGTTTAAGGAACATCGGCTTCTGCTACTTTGTAATATTTAAGATCTGCTTTTCTTTAATATGGATCATTTTAAACATCTAAAAATAGGCTCTGTGAATAGAGCTTTAAAAAAAATCTAGGTATGGGGTGCCTGGGTGGCTCAGATGGTTAAGCGTCTGCCTTCAGCTCAGGTCATGATCCCAGGGTCCTGGGATTGAACCCCGCATGGGGCTTCAGCTCCACACTGGGCTCCCTGCTTAGCAGGGGGCCTGCTTCTCCCCCTCCCTCTGCTCCTCCCCTTTTTCATGTTTGCTCTCTCTCTCTCTGTATCTCTGTGTCTCGAATGAATAAATAAAAAAATCTCTAAAAAAAAATCTAGGTATGAAAAAGTAGTTATCAATATATAAATTATAGTGTGATAAGTACATAAAAGAATTGTTCCTCTTTATGAAAGGATTTGCTGTACTCCTTTAAATATGAATTTTCTTAACACCCTTACCACTTGAGAAAGTAAAAAGGAGATTAAAGCTGTATAGATTTTGAAAATAGTATGACTGTAGTTACACTGAGTTTTAAGAACAATACAGTATGTTCAGAAAGCACAATTTGTTTTCCCTACTCTGGAATATGAAACATTTTCATTGATTAAATTAGAAAAGAAAAAAATCTGATGCTAAGAACCATTAAAATGTGATGCTAGGGACCATTAATAGCAGAGATCGTAACAAATAAAACAGCCCTTTTCCGTAATATGTATACAACATTCTTTGATGGCTCTTATTTCTTCATTATAATAAATGTGTAAAAGAAGTGGCCCTTCAGCCAGATAACCTGAAGTAGAGAATTTGACTTTAATCCTTCTTGCCATTGCCTTGTGGTTAGACCTTGGCCTTTTCTCTCCCTGTAAAAATAAGAATATTCACATCATTGTATTATTTTGTGAATGAAATGAGTGTAAATGTATTTTGAAAAATTAACTGTAAATATATAACATTTGGAGTGTCTTTATTGAGTAAATGCTTTCCAATGCTTGTTTTTAGCCCTCCATCAATTTTATCTGTGAAAGATATGATTATTATTTCCTTTGTTGAAAAGGAAGTCTCTTAGAAAGAGCAAATACTCATTTATAAGTGTCACCTTTAATCTACATAGCCTTGATTCTATTCTTAAGTTAATGTAATAAGCTGTGGTCTTTACCTAAATAACTTGAGAGGTTGCGATTTTCATTTAAAAAACAGGGAAGATAGTTCTAGTGACTTTTAGAATCTTAACATCATTTAAGCCAAACTGCATAGTCTAACTACTAATAATCATGTGATTACAGCATACATTTCTTTTCAATAGTTAAAAAAGAACTTTTTTTTAAGAAAGCAATTCCAAGGGCGCCTGGGTGGCTCAGTTGGTTAGGCGACTGCCTTCGGCTCAGGTCATGATCCTGGAGTCCCGGAATCGAGTCCCGCATCGGGCTCCCTGCTCAGCAGGGAGTCTGCTTCTCCCTCTGACCCTCTTCCCTCTCGTGCTCTCTATCTCTCATTCTCTCTCTCTCAGATGAATAAATAAAATCTTTAAAAAAAAAAAAAAGAAAGCAATTCCAAGAGAAAAGCATGGTTGCCATTTTTCAGGCCTTTGGATGTAGCTCGAGGGCTCATTTACATAATTATTGTGTCTTTGGAGTTCCAAATAAATAAATTGAAATGTCTAAATTATAAACAGTCTAGGATTTGAAGTCAGGCAGATCTGGTTCAAGTTATTAGGTGATGGTCTGATCACTTAGCCTCTTTGTATCTCAGTTTCCCTATCTCTAAAATAGGAATAATATTTTATACTCATTCATTCAACAAACATCTACTGAACTTATGTTCCCAGAGGTGCTGGGTTACAGCTATAAATAAGACATGCTCTTGCCATTCTATAGCTTACACTCTAGTAGAAGAGACAGATAATAAACATAAATACATAACAAAACTTATTCCACATAGGGACGTCTGGGTGGCTCAGTCCGTTGAGCATCTGCCTTGGGCTCAGGTCATGATCCCAGGGTCCGGGGATCAAGTCCCACGTGGGCTCCCTGCTCAGCGGAGAGCCTGCTTCTCCCTCTGCCTGCCGCTTCCCCGCTTGTGCTCTCCCTCTCTTTCTCTGTCTCTGACAAATGAATAAATAAAATCTTTAAAAAAAAATTCCACATAAGTAGTAAATGCAATGAAGAAAATAAATCAGCGTAATAGGATGGAAAGTGACTGGGAGAGGGGGCAGAGAGGAAGGGTGTGGCCACCCAAACAGGGAAGTCTTCTTTGAGGAGGTAGTACATTCCAGCTCACACTCAATTAATGAGGAGCCAGACATGGGTCGATTTAGAGGAGGAGCATCTAGGAGGTGGAAAATTCTTGAAGAAAAAAGGAATTTGGTCTTTTTTTGTCCAGAAAAAAGCCTATGAGGCTGGAGCATAGTAAAAAAAAAGGGAGAATACTGTAGAGAAAAACAGAGTCCAGATCATTTAGGGCCTTGTAGATATGATAAAGAACTTGGATATTATTCTAATTGCAATGAAAGACATGAACTAGCTCTGAATAAGGAATTGACACTGCTTAATTTACATTTTAAGAAGATCCTTCTCTATAAATAAATTACCAAAACTAGTAAGATAGTTGAGTAGGTGTGCAATAATCAATTATGTTCCTACATACCAGTGATGATTTAAAAATAAATAAAAAGATATATGCAAAAAGTAGCAACAACAACAAAAGTACAAAGGAATAAATTAAAGATTTGTAGGGAAGCACATTATAAACATTTTTGGAAAATACTGAAGTAGGCCTAAATTAATGAAGATCTACCATGTTCACAAATGGAAAGTCTCAATGTCACAAAGACGTCAATTCTCCTCAAATTATGTGATAAATTCAGTACAATTCCAATAAAAATCTCAAGAGGATTTTTTTTTCTTTGTGGAGTTTGACAATCTGACCATAAATTGTAAAAACAGGGAGCCAAATAAGCCAAGTCAATTAGCCAAGTCAATTTAATTTTTAACTTGCCTACCAGGTATCAATACTTATAATTAAGACAGTTTGATGTTGGGAGAAGAATAAAGAGCTCCAAAATAGACCTCCATATACATAAAAAGTTGATATATTACAAAAGTGGCATTACAGGTCAGTGGGGAAAGAGTGGACAAAAAAGTGCTGCTAAGACATTTGGTTATCCAAATAAAAAAAAAATCAAACCAGATAATTTAAAGATAAAATGATGAAAACAATACATTTTAGTAGAAAATATGGGAGAACATCTTTATAACCTCAGAGTAGGGAAGGATTTCTTGAAACATAAAAAGCACAATCCCTAAAGGAAAATATACATATATCTAATTACATTAATTTTTTTAAAGATTTTATTCATTTATTTGAGAGAGAGAATGAGAGAGAGCATGAGGGGGGGGAGGGTCAGAGGGAGAAGCAGACTCCCCACTGAGCAGGGAGCCCGAGGCGGGACTCGATCCTGGGACTCCAGGATCATGACCTGAGCCGAAGGCAGTCACTTAACCAACTAAACCACCCAGGCACCCCTCTAATTACATTAATGTTAAACATTTCTGTACATCCAAGACATCCTAAGGTGAAAAGATAAACCATAAACTAAGAAAAGATAATTATAAGCTAAAAATAGTTATTTTTCCAGAAAATACTAAACAAACAACAAAAAGCCTATGAATCAATAAGAAAAAACTAAGTAACTGCATGGAAAAATAGGCAAAGCATATAGAGTTGAAATTCACAGAAAAGGAAAACTGAAAGACAAATAATCGCATGAAAATAATGCTCAAGTTCAGGAGTAAGAGAAGTGGACCCAGACAGGAATGGCAGAACCTAAAAAGTATCCACATGTTAGGGAGGCACTGAAGTAGCAGGCATGCTCACATACTGCTGAGTGAAGTAAAAATTGTGACAATCATTTTGAAGATTAAATTTATTTTTAATATCTGGCTATAATATTGAAATATTTTTATCAAAGTAATTCCTAGGTACATTACTGTAGATAAAATTTTGCATGTGTATAAAGGAGACATAAAAAATTTATAGCATCATGGAATCTTTGGAATGAAATATTGTTAATGAGCTAAACATCCATTAACAGGATAATGGATACATAAATTGCAAGTATATTCACACAATATAATACAGCCCTGAAAATTAAGGAAATGCAGCTATTAGTGAGGATGAATCTCATGAAAAGAATATGGAGCAGAAAAATAAACAATTGCAGAAAGATACATATAGTAAAAAAATTTTATGTAGATCACAACACATTATTAGGGATATATATGTAGATGTAATGAAAGTACATAAATTTCATGGGAATGATAAACATTAAAATCAGGAGAGTTTTACCCCTGGGGAGCAGAGGTGAGTGGAATTAAGCATATATTATACTTACATTATACATATATTATACTTATATTTTATATAAGTATAAAATATATAAAAATATATATAAATATATAAAATTATATATCTCTTTAAGCTAGGTGGTGTGTACATGGTTATGTTTTATTCATTACTTTTTTGTAAACCAGAAATATAATACAAGTTTTAAAAGGAGAAAAGTTAATTCCAGTTTATAAACTGAAGAATGAAGTACCAGGGGTAAGAACGGAGGAAAGGAGACATGGGTTAGGGTGACAATGGCTGTACTCCAGGAAGAGTAGACTTGAGTATCTAGCACAGTTTCTGACAGCTGGGAGGTGTTTAACATGTAGCTACTGTTTTGGCGGTTGCTATCATCTTCACCATCATCATTATCAGTGTGAAGACCAAAGACATAAGGGGATTATGAAGGAAGATAAACTAAATATTTGGAGTAGTTATACTGCACCATGTGCTTTATGTATCTCTTTTAGTCTTGGCTGGAACCTGGTTATAAAGAATATAAGGCTCACAGAAGCCAAAGCGGGAAGGCACGCAGACTACATAAATTTCTAATGACTTCTTTTCCACTGTTGTTTAAAACACTCTCCTCCCTCCCCTCCAACACACATACAAACACCTTTCCTGTCTAGCAGTGAAAAAAATGCAAACATCGTTTCCTCTTTGGTTCATAAGTAGCATATTTTGAGTTAAATATTAATAATACACCATACACTTGAGTAGTGGCTTATTACAGAATACTTCTGGTTCTGTTTCAGTTTTTCATCTGATTCTCCTAAAAACTCTGAGGAATGCAGGGCAGTTGATGGTTCCTGTTTTATAGATGAGTAAACTAAAATCCAGAGAAGCCAAACCATAAGTTGCTAACTTGGTGACTATGAACTTCATGAAATTCTGTGTCAAATACTTTATGATTAAATGGGCGTTTTTCTAGGTAGAGGGTCAGCTTTAACTATATTTTCAAAAGGTTTTAAAAATAGTGGATTAAATGATTTGCCTAAGGTAGTCACATGGTCCTCGTGGAGCCAAAATCCCAAGCAATTTCTTCCTATTCCACACTGAAGAATTTTTTTGTTACAACCTATAGCATCAAAATTCAAATTACATATATTATTAGTGAAATACTTTTTGTAATGTCTACTGAATGCTAAGATGGGAAGGTTATTAAATATACCAAAACATCTTACTTGGGAGAAATAGTTTTGTTCAGCCCTTAGGCAGTCACTCCTTAATCTACATATGGTGTTGCTCTTCCGCTGAACAAGTCAAGAACTGTTGTCTTTACAAGCCCTAGCACACACTTGAAGAAAGGAATCTGATACAGTAATTACATAACGTATTTTACAATTCTGAGTAATCTGTAAAGAACAATCGTGAGACACAGCTTGATCTCATGATGGAAAGAGGACCATGAGCTGAGAATGGAATTTTCATTTCTCCTGGACAAGAGTTATTTGTCTCAGGGTCTCCCCGCTCTCGGCTGTAAAAGCATCAAGGTGGATGGCTTCTTAATCTTCCCAGCTCTAACACTGTATAAATTTGGGTGGGATTTAATATAGAAAGGCACCGCTGGCGTTTTGTGAATGAACTTTTCAGTCTGTTAAGGCTAGCCTTATTTTCCCAATGAGAAAGGTATCTAGCGCCCGAGGTGGATCATTAGCCCCAATTATCCGGGGACCCACACTAGAGCAACCCCTCGTGAGGGTCAAGCCCGCAGTCCCCATTAGGGCGACGCAGGGGCGGGCGGAAAGCTACAGAAGGCCACCAGGCCAGTGGGATTTCAAACACAAGGGCTGTTGATCCTGTGTTAAGGAATGACGGAAGGCGGGAAGGTTCCAAGGGATCAGCTTAAACAGGCGAGCGCTGGGGTGGGGCTTCAGGCCCCGAGGCGGCTGGAGTGCTGGGAGCGCCGCACCACCGCCGCATCCCGGCCTCCGGAGCTGGGGTGTGACCAACAGGAGGCCCCCCTACCCACGGAAACCCCAGCGGCCCGGCACGGCCACGTGACCGAGAGCCGGGGCGGGCAGAGGCGTGTCCCGCTCCGCCCCGCGCGCAGGCGCGCTGTACAGGCGCTGAAATTCAAATTTGAACGGCCGCAGGAGGCCGAATCTGATACTGGAGGCTGAGGGGTAGAGGCGAGTAGTTTGGGAGAGTCCTCCCCGCCCCGGCCTTCTGGTTTTCTCCAAGTGACATAGTGAACCGAGACTCACTTCTTTTCTTTTTCTGAATTTGAACCACCGTTTCCGTCGTCTCGCAATCGACACGCGAAGTCCGGGGCGATGGACCCGTTTACCGAGGTGAGAAAACCTGCGAGCGCAGCCTGCCATCGCCACTGTCGGCCCCTACCCTAACCGTTATTTCCCACCTTCTGTCGACCTCTGGGCCCACCGGGCGGAGGGCGCGTGCGCGCGCCTGCGCAGCGTGTGGGTGCGGGGGGTCCGCCTGGGAGAGCCTTAGGGGAGAAGGGGGTGGGGGGAGGACGCCCCTGGCTCCGCTGCTGCGGTGGGTCCGCGGCTTACGTGCTGCGGTGGGTCCGCGGCTTACGTATTGCGGTCCTGCAGTGGGAGCTCAGGGAGGAAAGTTTTGAGTCTGTCCTAAAGGGCGGTAGCGAAAAGCCTGCTGTCAGCCCCGATAGCTGTGACGCCCCTCTGTAGTGGAGCCCTGTCCCTTCCGAGGGGGAGGTTGGGGCCTGGCGGAACTGGTCCTGCTGGAAGTGAAAGCGGGGATAAGGTGTAGGGTGGAGTCGGGTGCTTGAATGACTCAGTGCTGTGTGCAGCCGCCGCCTGCAAATGGAATGTGATTTGCGGGGTTCATGCGGCCCGCAGAATGCTATGCATTTAAAAGATGCTGTTAACGAAATGACAGCAAAACGTTAAAATAAGCCAATACCCGAAACCATTACATCCGTTCCTACAAAGCCAGTAGTTTCTTTAGATTTGATTACTCAGTTGAATAGGGAAGAAGTTTCATCCCCGGGATTGGCACTTGAATGGAAAGGAAACAGTGCTGGCCGAATATATACAAAAAAATTAAAAGTCGACAGTTTAAAAAAGCAGAGTAAAGAAATAGTAAACCTTTTTGTGTGTGTTTATGGAGCATAACATTACGGCAATGCTTGTCTTTTGTCCTTTGGAAATTGAATGTGGATTGCGTCATTGTGTCAATTATTTCTCTATCCTTGGGCAGTCTCGTTGAGAACGTACATGGACCTACTTGGGAGTTTTCGTGTTGTCCGTTGTCCACTTCCTTTTCTTCCAGGACAGTTCCTGTTTCTTTAGGTTGTTGTGCAAGTTTCAAACTGTTATTTCTTGAGTTGTTGCAAAGTGGGCCTAAAAATGTCTCTACACTAGATTCAAAAACTTAAATGCTATGGAGAGTAGAAATACTTTTTCTACTCTTTTTTGGGAGATGTAATTACAATTCCATTAAGTCTAAGATGCTAAAAGTTTCAACAGTTACAGTTTACTTGTATTCAAACAGAACACTATTTTTGTTTCAAATTCTCAATCTTTCAGGGGAAAACATTAATTTGTTAACCTTACTTAAGGATTCTGACAGAACACCCAGAACACATTTTTGTATTAGCTTTAAGGAATAGGGCTGATCATGCATCAGATATTTTTCACATACTTTGAAGTTAAAAAGGATATTTTATGTTACTAAGCTAGGATAAGAGTCCTTAAAACATTAGCCCCATGTGTCCCAAATGTTCTTTTTATTCTCCTAAGTAGCTGACAGGAACAAAGCATTTTGAAAGTTGGCTGAAAATTGTATTTCATTTTACTTGAAAATATCATTCCGAAGCTAGTACAAATCTCAGCTGAAAGAAACTTTTATTTGAAAGAAAACTTTTGCTTTACAGTGTGCTCAGAAATATGTATGGTTTACAAAAAGTTAGGTCGGTTGCAGTTGGAATAAACGGCTTTGACGTCTTTTCCTTAATTGGTAATGAGTGAACTATTTGAATTGGTTCCAATGACTAGGTGCTTAATTATAGCATTCATAACATTTTTGCACAGGGAAGTGGACTGGTACAGTTCTTTGTCTTAAAGGACTGAAAATAAGTTAAAGTGATTTTCTCAACCAGAGTTCCTTATCAGAACCACAGAAAATGATTTGAGAGACTATTTTGTTAATTTTCCCAAAGGTGATTCATAACCCTGCCATCCTACAAGCATAGCAGAGATGTTAATTCGTTACATTAATGTCAGGGCATTAGGGCTAATTCTCTTGGTAACTCCGGTTGAGAAAGCTACAACCATCCTACACTGTCTTCCTCAAACGAGGCTGTTGTGTATTGCTTCTCCTCCTGCTGTCCCTGGTGCTTTCTGGCACACTCTTCTCTCCCTGCCCCCTCTGCTTGGCAAACTGATTTAACCTCCAGCTCTCACTCTGATTTCCCTTCCTCAGAGGGCGGATCACCTTGCACAGTGCTCCTCTCACTTGCATTTACCTGTTGAATATATTTCCTGCCAGATTGTCAGCTTTATGAATGCAGGCCTGTTCTTTCCTATTCAGAGAGATGTTTCCCTAACATCAAGCACACCCAATAACATTCTGCTGAAATAATAAAGAAAAGAGCCATTCGGTGCAAATTATTTTACAAACAATTATATACAATAGTAACTGTTAGAACATTTTTGCCATGTTCTTTCCTTTATTGTAGAAAATTTCAAATTCTCACGTATAATAACTCCTCATGGATTCATTACCCAGCAACAATACATGGCCATATTGTTTCACTGTATTCCCCTCCAATCCCTCCCACTGAATTATTTGGAAGCAAATTGTAGAGATCATATAATTTCAGTATTTATCATTAAACATTAAGTACTTGAAAAAAATCATAGTGCTGTTATCACACCTAAAAATTTAAGAGCAATTCCTTAATATCATCAAATATTCTGTCAATGTTCACATTTCCTTAAGTGTCTCATGTTTTGCAATTTGTTTGAATAAGGATCTAGACAAGGTCCACAGGGCAGTGTCTTTCTATATTCTTCTTGGACCAACCAGAAATAAGAAAGCCATCTTGATTCATGGACAAACAAGCAAATTAAGGCAGATGTTTATTATTATGATCAGCTGATAACATTTAAAAAGTTATGTTAATATGAAGTTAGTTCTCCCTGACAAAAAGTTCTTAAAAAGAACAATTGGATTTAGTCAAAAAACAGTTTGGTGTGAAGCCCAATGCAGGGCTTGAACTCATGACCTTGAACTATCAAGAGTCTGATGCTTAAGGGACTGAGCCATTTAAAAGTTTATAGCAAACTGATTAAGAGCCCAAACTCTGGAGCCTGATTTTTGAATCCTGCCTTGCCATTTCTTTTTTTCAATCTTTTTAAAAGATTTTATTTATTTATTTGAGAGAGAGAGAGTCTGAGACTGAGAATGTCATAAGGGACCCCAGAGCTAGGTGTGCCCAAGTCAGAGCTTTCTGTGTAGGATCCTTAAAAAAGCCACAATTAAAATAGTCTGTAAAACATCTTCTCTTGTGCAATAAACATGCTGTTATTGTTTTGAATGGAGTTTCTCTTATTTTTGAGAATTAAATGAAACTCTCTGTATTGACCTGGGAAAGAATGCTGCTAGAGCATGTTGAAAATAATAATTTATATTGAGTGTACACTGTTTAAGAAGGTAGGGAAATCAGTAATACCTCCTAGAAGGATTTCTATCAGAAATGATTTCAGGTGTGTATGTGGCAGAACTTACTTAAGGACTAAAGCTTCATTTATTTTAGATTCATCCATGTGGAATGTCTTATTTCCCGATTATGTTATTGTAGTTTTTTTTTTTATGCCTCTATTATTTAAAGAAGGAGGTGTGATATTTGAAAGAATGTACCTTATAAAGAACCCTTGAATTCCTGATGCATTTTTATAGACTTAGATTTATTGAACTGTTGAGTTTATGTTCCTTAGATATATAATTTCTTTTAAATTAATCTTTAATTCTTATTTTATAGACTAGGGAACTTTTGCTTATCTGTTACAATTTTTTTTTAATTTTGAAATCTTTGAATCTAATATAGACAATAGAGTACTTGTGTATGTTTGAATGGCAAAGCCACATTCTTTTGTAACCGACCTCTTGCTCATAGTAACTGAAGATATACTGACTCACAAGTATTCTAACTGACCAGAATGGAATGTGGGCATGTCCATGAATGAATAAAATTAGTCTAGTTTTGTATCTGGGCAGTGATATATTTTATCATGGGGAAATTATATATATATGAATTTATCACTTTTGAGTTTGAAGACTTTAAAGATTGAAGGCCTTGTGTCTTGGGAGGCATTTGGTTCATAAATTAACTCTTTCAGTGACATGGCATTTAGATTTAGCCTCACTTCTTATAGTGAGGAAATCATTCCTAAGTGGAGAGTTGTACCTTCCAAATTTAGTTCATGTTTCTTTTGCATCTCAGAGGAATTTTAAAGAATAATTATTCTATTTTAATTAAGGAAATTAAAAAGGTCAAATGGGAGTGCAATTCCTTAGTCTTCATTAACACTGTATCTGTGTGTACAGGGCATAGAAACTCCAACCAATAATTTGCATGCCTCCTTTAGTTGTGTACTTTTGAAGGAAAAAGAATTGTTTTACAGGGTCTTGTGTTTGTTCTACTATGCTTATTCGAATAGAAGCATTAGTTGATTCAGGGTAAGAACAGAGTAGTCATGAGTTTATGGAATGGTTAAGATACCAGCTTAAAATCATTTAGTATATATTGATATTGAGTTAAATAAAACATGGGATTTTTTTTAGTGTTTTTTTTTTCTCATCTTAGGAAATGTCATGTTTTCAGAGGACTAAATATGTCAGTTATCTCTTCCTATTTACCATTATACCAAATCTTAGTGGCTGTATTAGTTTTGTTGCTATAACAAATTACCACACTCTTAGTGGTTTAAAAAATCACAGATATTTATTACCTTCTGAAGGTCATAAGGCTGGTGGATTTTACTGGGTTAAGATCAAGGTGTTGGCAGGATTGTGTTCCTTCTGAAGGCTCTAGAGGAGACTGTTTCCTCACCTCTTCTAGCTTTTGGAGGCCCCCTGCATTTTTTGACATGTGGCCCCTTCCTCCATCTTCAGAGCCACCAATCTCACCACTCCAAGCTCTGCTTCTGTTGTCACATCTCTGACCTTCCTGACTCTTTTTGTCTCATAAGGACAATTGTGATTACATTGGGCCCACCCAGATAATCCAAGATAATCTTTCCATCTCAACACCCTTAATCACATCAGCAAAGTCCCTTTTGCCCAATAAAGTAAGGATTCACAGGTTGACGGGATTAGGAAATGAACATCTTTGGGAGACTATTATTCTTGCCACCAAAGTGCTTAAAACAGCCACCACATTATTTCTCATGGCAGGCGAGAATTCTACCACTGAACCACCAATGCTGGTGCATTGGCCGTATTATTTCTCATGATTCAGTGGCTTGGCAGTCTGTGTTGGGCTCACCCAAGGCTTTGTTTCCAGTGGTGTCCCCTGGGGTCATGCTGGAGTCTGCAGGGATCTGACGAATGATCTGGAACTGGATGGTCACAAGTCTGGTGGTTGATGCTAGCTCTCAGCTGGGCCAGGTGTCTCTAGCACACTTGACCTGGGCTTCTACACCTGGTGGCAGTGTTCCAAGAGAATGAGAAGAGACTGTTAAGACTTCTGAGGCCCAGGGTTGAAAGTCACACAGTATCACTTCTGCCTCATTCTGTTGGTCAAAGTAAATCATAAGGCAAGCCCAGAGCAAGGCTGTGAAAATAGATTCTACCTTTGGATGGAAGCAGAAAAAACTTCTGGTCATTTTAAATCTCATACAACCAACTTTACACATTTTATTCATATTGCATCTGTAGTAATTTTGACTTTGGGGTGCTTATTTGGTGAATTTTGACTTAAATTACGTAGGATTTCACTTTTGAAATGTATTTGTTATCCTACATGGCAACTGGTGATTTTAGAAGATACCTCAGGTTTTGTGAACTTTTGACTACACTTGTGTTTTAATGCCGCTATACTACATATGTAGAAACTGCTGGAACGAACCCGTGCCAGGCGAGAGAACCTCCAGAGAAAGATGGCCGAGAGGCCCACGGCAGCTGCAAGGTCTGTGACTCACGCCAAGAGAGCCAGAGAGCCACTTTCAGAAGCAAGTAACCAACAACCCTTACCTGGTAGTGAAGGTAAAAGACTTTGTGGGGGAAAAATAAAATTTGCATCTTTTAAAGGAGATAAGCCCCATTTTACTGTGTGTGTGTAGAAAGACGCAGGTCTTTGGGAGACAAATGTAATAATAGCCTCCGGGGGAAAGATCAGCCTTCTGTTCTAGTTCAGGCCGATTGTATTAGGCCTAGACCTACCAGACCAGAGCAGAATATCCAATAAATCCTTCAAATTAATTGCTCAAACTTCATTTTCCTCAACCCAAAGATGTCCTTAAAACCCCCAAAGGGAGAAAAGTAAAGGAGCAGAGGAACAGTGCACGGTGGTGGTGTGGAGTTTATCTACCCCAACAGTGCCGGAACAGCTGACCACCAAGTTTTCAGTTGGTCTCTGGCATGAGCAGGGTAATGAAAGGCAGACCTGCTTGCAGATGCTTGAAATTTAATGAGCTTTTTCATCCTCTGTTGAACCAGCTCTCTAGAGCTAGGCTCAAGGTATAGGCGGTTCATCTGAGAACTGGTGAATTAGACAAAAATAAATAAATATACACAAACAAACCTAAACTCACCTAGAAACTTAACTTACTTCCTAAATCCTGGCATCCCTAGCCTGTATCAGTAAGTTAGCCACCTTAATCTTTTCCTGGAGTGTAGAAGAGTCTGGAGATAATCATTTTCCTTAGTGTAGATTTAAAAATGCATATAGAAAGAAAGCATCACAGAAGGCAAAATCAGTATTACAAAAGTGGTGAGGGCATGGAGCGGGCTCACGATTATTTTGTAAGCTAACTATAGAATGAGAATTTATTTTCATATATTTATACATTTTGAAGAGAGGGAATACCATATATATCACATATATATATGGTATATATATTACATATACATGGTATATATGTTATACACATGTGGAATATATATCAGACACACATGGTATATATATTGCATATGTGGTATATATATTACATACATATGGTATTTGGTCAGGAAAATAGAGGCCTAGATCCAGTTCAGAATCTTTTTCTGTTTTTGTTGTGTGACACAGGTTTATACAATGAAATGTTGATTACTGTGTACTTTAAAACTAGTGGTTGCAGCTATGTTTTGATTCTGAAGTGGAAATATTTACTGTTTTATATGAGAACTAGAAACTTAAAGAATTCTGTATTTCCAGATGGTGATGCATGTTAAAATAGGAACACTTTCAAAAAATTATTAGATGAGTTAATAGAAAAGAGATCTATAAGTGAGTTACAGAAGATGAGAAAGTTTCATAATGTCTGTTTGATTAGATTGATGTCTATGAGGGCAATCACGGCTCCCACTTAACAGAACTTCGGGTCCTTCCAGAGTGAGAACACTGGGTCAGACCACCAGGGAAACTGGCCTCATGTAATTTACATTCCTATATCCTAAAATGTTAATTTCCCAGGAGATATATTAAAATTCATTCTTGGGGGGCGCCTGGGTGGCTCAGTCGTTAAGTGTCTGCCTTCGGCTCAGGTCACGATCCCAGGGTCCTGGGATCAAGCCCTCATTGGGCTCCCTGCTCCGTGGGAAGCCTGCTTCTCCCTCCCACTCCCCCTGCTTGTGTTCCCTCTCTCGCTGTGTCTCTGTCTCTCCGTCAAATAAAGAAATAAAATCTTAAAAAAAAAAAAATTCATTCTTGGGTAGAAATAATATACCTTATGTTTGGGTAGCTCCTTTTTATTTTAGGACTTTTTAATTTATCTTATAGGTGTCCATGGCAGTTTGAAATGTGAACTGTTGGGGCACCTGGGTGGCTCAGTCAGTTAAGCATCTGCCTTTGGCTCGGTTCATGATCCCAGGGTCCTGAGATCTAGCCCCGTGTTGGGCTCTCCACTCATCAGCAAGTCTGCTTCTCCCTCTGCCTCTGTGATCACTTTCACTCTCAAATAAATAAATAAAATCTTCAAAAAAAAAGTGAAATGTTTTGAAAATATGAAAACATTTGTGCCAATGGCTTTGCACATGGTATTGCACATGTGCACATGGTTGCACATGGCTTGGTGTTAACCAGATAATTCCGCTGCTATTTTGGTTCCCTGCCTTTCCTAAACCTCAAGCCAGGTTCTCTTCTAACCTTGCTTATTATTGTTCATGGAAGATTGTTTTAAAAACAAAGTCTGTTTCTACCCTTAGCTGTGTCATTTTAGGCAGGTAATGTAATCGCTCTGGGCTTGGTTTTCCTTATCTAAAAATGCGGTGATAGGGCTGTGTGATCTTCAAAATCACTCAAAACATTTGTTCTATGTGTATGCACTTTTTATTTCCTAGTGTCTTAAGACTAGTAAAGTATTAGGCCTATATCTTGAGAATATTATTTGAATATCTTTTCATTTGGGTGTTCTAAACCATAAATTATATGTTTGTTTAAAAAGAAATCTCTCATATCAGATTCCTAAGTTACTGAAGGTAGAATTTTACATATTTCTTGTTGTAAGGAAAATCATTTAAAGCGAATAGAGAAGCATCATGTTTTAATAATTTTTTTAAAAGATTTTATTTATTTAATTGACAGAGAGAGAGAGAGCATGAGGGGGAACGCAAGTAGGGCGAGTGGGAGAGGGAGAAGCAGGCTTCTGGCTGAGTAGGGAGCCTGATGCGGGGCTCGATCCCAGGACCCCAGGATCATGACCTGAGCTGAAGGCAGTCGCTTAACCAACTGAGCTACCCAGGCGCCCCTTAATAATTTGTTAAGTACCTACTGCTAGTTTTTCAGGCTATGAGAAATTACGGAATTTTGAACTTTTTTTGGTGGGGCGGTGTCTTTTTTAATCTAGAGAAATCTGGTACAAAACCATCACCATCCAAAAAGCACTGCTCTGACAACACCGAAGTAGAAGTTTCTGACTTGGAAAATGAAAAACCGGTTGAGTCAGCTTCAGCCAAACGCTGTCCTTCAAGTCCTCCACCTCCTCAGGCGCAGCCACAAGCACCTGCTCCCGCCAGCGATGCGGAGGCTGTCCCAGCACCGGTGCCAGGCGTGAGGCGAGGGCTCAGCTCAAGACTGCAAGCCACTGCGGGCTCCTCCGTGAAAACACGAATGCAAAAGCTGGCAGAGCAGCGGCGCCATTGGGATAATAATGATCTGACAGGTATGGATAATCTGTTTCAATAAGATTCAACTGGGTAGGTTGAAAATTTGATGTATCAGTTAACACATGAAAGATCAGTGCTTCTGTTGTATCTGTCTCCTCAGTCTCCATCACTTACAAATAGTTTGTATATCAGCAGTGTATTTATCAGTTGGTTGTGTTCTCATTGAAGTAGATGCTGCTGAGGTTCTTAGACTAGCTCCCAAAAGCTTGGTCTCATAACCATAGCTCTTAGTGAAAATAAAAAAGCAATAGAGAACAAACTATACCCTTGGCATTATTAGCATTGCTGATCTTCAGCTCTGTATTCAAGAAATTCTATTTTATGGATTAACTAAATAAATTTGAGTGGCTTAGGTATGCAATGCCATTTAATAGAGGGGAGAGAAAACGTAAGCACTTAGCACCTACAACACATGTTATGACAAGGTGCTGGGAACCAATGAAGTGACCTGATGCTTGCCTATCGTGGGCTTATACTCAGATGGAGAGTCTAAGAGCAAATCAGCAGTCATGCAGCAGGGTTATGTGTTCTGTGATCAATTTTGTCTTCTATCTTGTTACAAAAAAGCTTTAAGATGACTTACAAAAACAACTATATTACAAAACAAGAAAAATAAGGAAATTCTAGGGTGAAGAGAAGGAAGAACAAAGAAGGGAAGGGTAAAATACAGTTGTTAAGGTCCACCTCACTTGCCAGAGTTATGAACTTGCTAGCAGCCAAGGTAAGGAAGAGAAACACCATCAGTTATATGACTATTTATAAGGTTAAAGCAGAACCATGGCTGGAACTAAGACCCAAGAGAATATTCCTCCCTGGGTCCTCAAAGATGACTTTGTAGAAGGTAGTTAATGTGTAAGGTTACTCAAGGTAGGCAGGTGGCCTGGCTCCAAACTCAGTTCAGTGAACACAGTTCCAAATAGAGCAGCATAGTACAGGTGGACAGCTCAGTGGCAACTGGGCCTTACCCAAGGAAGTGTTCCTCAAGCTTTGGCTTTCAGCCTGGCTCCTGTGTAACAAAAACATTTGGACCATTGATTAGGAATCTCAGGAGTGTGGTGGAGCCCTGGGGTGTGCTTTAATCTTTTTTTTTTTTTTAAATCTCTGTATATTACTCTGATGCATAGCCAGAATTGAGACTAAGATCTGAAGAAATGGATGGACTACATAGATTTTAGGCAGTCTTTCGTAAATGTCAATTCTTTGGTCTGAAATTTTGATAAGTATTGGACAGCAGAGCATTTAAGATTACCCTTTTTGGCAGTGATGGTAATTTCAAATACTGTGTAAAGCAAATTCAGTTTCAAGAGCAAATACTGTGTAAAGTGCTAAGGCATTCTAAATATCTTTTGTTCTAATATAGTATAGAATTTAGTTCTTATAAAAATCTTAGGACATACATACCACTTTTTTGTTCACGTTATAGAAGAGGAAACTGGGTTCTAAGAAGCTAAGACACCTGACCAGAATCAGCAGCTAAAATTCCAAC